TAGGTGTACAATTACATTTCATTCAGGCACCCTGTTGATAAGAGGTGTTTCCCCATACCCAGACAGATATTTGCTACTGTTAACCCCATCTCCCTCCCCACCCCATAGTTTCCCAGTACTGTCAGTCATTTTCTTATAGTGTTACATTGAATGTTCAAGGTTGATTATATGAGTGAGAACATGTGATACTCGGATCTTTGCTTCTGTGAGAGGTCACTCAGTACTACAGACTCTAGTTCCATCCAGGTTGCTGCGAAATTCATGATTTTGTTCTTTTTTATGGCTGCGTAGTATTCCATCGTGTATATGTACCACATTTTTTTAATCCAGTCCTCTTTTGATGGGCAGCATGGTTGGAGGTCTTTCAAAGGACACGTCCATCCCAGCCATGCGGGGCCAGAAGGCCCTGCCCCAGAAAAGCGCCACCCCTGAGGCATTTCCCCAGTGATTTCTTCTGGTAGTTTCATAGCTTCTGGTCTTAGATTTAAGTCTTTAATCCATTTGGGTTTGATTGTTGTGGATGGTGAGAGGTAGGGGGTGGCCCCTGACTGTTTAACTTACCTCCTGCTTCCTCTGCTCTTCCCTTCCCTGGGGCAGCAATTAAAGATCAAATGAGGGCCTGGCATGGTAATCCCAAAACACTCTGGGAGGCCAAGATAGGGGGATTTCTTGAGGCCAGGAGTTCAAGACTCCCTTGCTACAAAATACTTCTTAAAAACTTAGCCAGCGATGGTGGCACACACACCTGTAGTCTCAGCTACGTGGGAGGCTGAGGCAGGATCATTTGAGCCCAGGGTTTGAGGCTGCAGTGAACTGTGATTGTACCATAGCACACCAGCCTAGGTGACAGAAAGTGATCTTGTCTCTGAAAAAATACACACACACACACATACACACACACATGCACACACGCATACATACATAATTAAAAATAAAAATAAAAAAATCAAATGGGAACAATGTATGTGACAGCACTTTGTCCACTAAAAAGTTGGATACCTGAGGAAAGCCAAGGCAGTGCCCACGCCTGTCCTGACGCCCCCACCCACCTCCCCTGAGACTCTGAAATCCATAAGGCCCGTGGCATGCCCCGCGGTGTTTCAGCACTCTCTGAAGTCCCTTTCAAGGGCTTGATGGGGCGTGTCTGGCTAGATGAGGCCATCTGGTAGACTCTGCCAGGAGCCAGGAGGAGAGTTCTGAGGGCAAAGGCAGGAAGTGTGGATGCCGTCTGCGACTGAGTCTCTCTAAGTCACTTGTCTCTGAAGGGCTGGGTACTGACCGCTATCTTCAGGGCGCCGCTTTCCCCTGCTCTGTGTGTGGACCGATTTCTGACAAGGATCGTGGCATTTAGTTCTGAGAAGAAAACTGTTCCTGCGAGGGGTGAGCTGGAAGGGAACTGAGTGCAAAGATGGCCTTGAGGACGAGATCAGAGACGCTGCCACAGGCCAGAAGGGGCTCTTGTCAGGAATTCTTCAGCCGCCATCCTCTCAGCTGACTTAAGAGAGGAGTGAGGGGGTCCAAGCCAGCAGGGCCTCACCTACCCTTGCTAGGAAGGCTGCTGTGGTCACCACCTTGCTTCTGTGGGCTGAGCTGGTTGGACTCTGCGCTTGGGTTGGACCCTGAGGCCAGGGCACAAGATGGGGAGGTTGCGGCCAGGGCCGGATGGGTGGGTGGAGAGGTGTGGGGGAAGGGCACCCCACCCTCTTGGCCCTAGAGCCTATGGACTGCAGGCAGGGGCTGACGTCAGCTCTGGGCGGCCCCTCCTTGGGGACTGAGGCTTGCTTTCCTCCTTGAGAGGTTACACCCTCCCTGGAGCCCGGGACTCGATCACGGTGCAGGAACCACGCTTGCACAGAGCTCTGAGCTTTTCCTTCCTGCAGCCTGACAGGACCCCCCGAGGGTCTCCATGGCAGTGGGACTGGGAGGTGAGGGGCCTGCGCTGAGACAGCACCATTGACAGGAGGCATTGCACAACTTGGGAAGGAGGCTGGAGGCCTACAGGAACCACAGAACAAAAGTACTAGAAGGCCACCATCCAGCTTCCCCATTTTCAGAGGCTGGGAGAAGAGGACTGACTTCCTCACGTCATTAGACAGGGGCAGAGGTGAGACTGAACACTCAGCCTCTGACTGCCTTAACTCTGGAGTGAGATCTTAGGTCCCTGGTCTTGAACAGTTGGGCTGGGCTCCTCACAACCCTTCCTGAGAGCTGTGTGCAGAGGCTCACACCTGTAATCCCAGCACTCTGGGTGACTGAGGTGAGAGGGTTCCCTGAGGCCAGAAGTTTGAGACCAGTCTGGGCAACATGCAAGACCCCATGTCTACGAAAACTTTGAGCTTCAAGTTAGTAAGAAGTAAGAAAAAAAGAAAGAAGGAAAGGAAAGATTCCTCCCTCCCTCCCCAGTGACTCCCCCCATCTCTGGCAGCTCCAGACACTGATTTAAGAACTTGGGCTGATGGGGAACCACTGAAACAGTTCGGGGCTGAGTTCTGGGTCTCCCCACAGCAGGGTTGTCTTCCCACGGCCTCCACCCCCTGGGCTTGCTCTGACCTCGCCAGAGCCAAGCTATATTCAGAGCCCTGCTGATGTGTCCAGTCCCAGAGGTGTTAACTATATCCCTGAGACCTGGGCTCTGAGGGGAACACCAAGACTCATCTTTCAGAAAGTGTGGAAATCCTGGCCAGTGTGATGCCCACATCTAGGGGTTTCTTAGTCATCCCCTGAACCCTGGGCAGCCTCGCCAGAGGATCTACAGGGTGGGAAGAAAGTTCTTGGCAACAGAGAGCCACCCTGCTCCATATGCCAGTGCTGTGGAGGAGGAAAGTTGACCAGGCTGGTCTCTGGTCACACGGGTTTGCCTGAAGCCACTAACCCTTTCCCAAATGCCTCCTGTGTGCGAGCACCTTTAAGCAGCAAAATCCTGAAGTTCCAGAAGGTGGGGATGTTACTGAGTAGAAGAATTGGTGAGAAAAGCATCTGGATGCCCTCACTTGGGAAGGGGAAGTTGGGGGTTTTTTTTTGAGGAGAGCATGACACAGAAGACCTCTCGGGATGTATGTAGTTGATATTAAAATATTTCTGAGTAGGCTGGGCACAGTGGCTCCTGCCTGTAATCCCAACACTTTGGGAGGCTGAGGCAG